GAGGGGCATCATATTTGACATGGACGGGACATTGTGGTATGAAACACCCTACAGCCAGCTAATGATTGAGCTGTCTTACCTAATGCCCCCTCTCTTTTCCATTGTTTTTTCTTTCTTTTTACTTCAACGCTCTTCTCTTCTCTTCTGAAGCCCATTCTGTTATAAAAGCCTTCAATCTTTTTTCTTTTTATATATTTCTCTCAAGTGCGATTGCCCTATAGTCCTAGGGACAAGATCAAGTGATTTGTCTTTCATATTGTCGGGTGGCATTTGAGCAATGGCAAGTTTTGCTCAACAGCCTTGTCACTGACTCATTTTGCTTACTGCGTTTATGTGCCCCTCATTCTGCCACGGAACAAGATGTAAGAAAGAGAACGGCAAAAGGATGAACAGAATAGAAGGGAGGAGAAGAGAATGAAGAGAATGAAATGGGAAAAGATGTTCTTCACAAATTGGCATTGCCTCTGACATCCTCAATAGTGAGCCTCAAACATACATGTTCAGGGAAATGCGCTCCGTCCTCGGCATCCCTCAGTCAGTGGACATCCTCGAACACATCGACAAGCTCCCCCCTCACCAGCAGCCGCCCGCCCACGAGGCCATCCGCGCCATCGAGCGCAAGGCCATGGCCTCGCAGACGCCCCAGCCCGGCCTCCAGGACCTCATGTCCTACCTCGAGGCCTACCAGGTGCCCAAGGCCATCTGCACCCGCAACTTCGACATCCCCGTCCAGCACCTCATCTCCAAATTCCTGCCCGCCTCCCAGTTCTATCCCGTCATCACCCGCGACTTTCGCCCTCCTAAGCCCCATCCGGCAGGTATCATGCACATCGCCCAGAGCTGGGGCCTGGTCGACGGCTCCGGCGCCGTGGACACCAGCGGCTTGATCATGGTGGGCGATTCCCTCGATGATCTGACGGCGGGGAGGTTGGCGGGCGCTGCCACCGTGTTGCTGCTCAACGACGTGAACAAGGAGCTGGCCACCCATGAGCATACCGACTTGGTAATCCACAAGCTCAACGACTTAATTCAAATCCTGGAAAATGGATTTCAGGGGAGAGTGATAGAACCAGGGCGTTTACCATTGTGATTTTTTCGCATATATCCAAACGTTAGATTTAGGCGCTTCTCAGCATCAAGCACAATACATGTAAACAAGTCCACCAACACTACATTGGACATAGGCATATATATATATACTCTTTGTATACGGGAGGGAAATGGCAAATACAAAATTCATTTAATGCTCACTTGCAAAAGCCACTTTCTTTTCTCTCTCTTTCATCTCATCTGTTATTTTCTCAGCTCAAGCTGGGTTGCTAGATTCAAACGCTCTGCGTTTGCTACATATACCTAAGGTACATCACACTAGAACATGTAACACGATCCAAGCGGTTTCATTGCGATGAAGTGTACCAACAAAAAAGAAGTGTTTTTTTTCTTTCCATGTGTAACTTATAGCTGTCTCACAGCTCATTTCAGATAATCGTTCCAGAGATTTTCTTCTTTCGCTATCAATTTTTGTTTGGCGCCTCTCATCAGAACAGACGTGAGGAGACAGAGACATGTCCATCAAAAAAGAAATTGCGCCGAGGTGATGCTAAGGCAGAGAGAGAGTTGTCGAGAGGATGTCGATATAAGTAGGTCAGAGGGTCAATAGTAAGGTGGCGGCGGATCCTATACGCCGTATGAAGGGTTCGGGGGCAGCCCGTAGGTTTTGACTTGCCTCCGGCTCTGACCTCGTGCCTCGTCTGACGCTGATTTTTGCGATCCTCCTTGCGCAAAAGCACTTGTTGGTGGCGCTGGTCGGACTGGAAGGTTGAAGGTGTTGGGTGAAGAGTGATGGGAGCCATCTGAATAGCCAGAAGACGAGTTTGTGGGAACTCGTTGTCCGAGACCCGGATGAGCGGGCCGGCTCGCGCCAACACCATTTCGCGATGGTGATCGATTTTGCGTAGCCAGCTGATCTCTTGGTGAGAGGATTCCAGCTCCAGCAATGGGGATGTCTCCGAATTGGGGTGTGTCGAGCGGCAGCTCCTCATTTCGCGACTGCGGCGATGAGTCGCTTGACCGAAGCAGTTCGTGGGTGCCGCTAGGCGAAAGCTGGGGTACAAGATGAGACTTGCGGTTGTCCCTCTCCATAAGGCTAAATGCCCACTCCTTAAGGTCTACCGGTGTTCTCTTGGCAGCTTGCACAAAAGGATCACGCTCCTAAAAATGTTGTCTCAGTCACCATTCGAAAAGCCGAGGGTAAGGGGCTGGTATCAACTTACAAATAATTCTTGCGGGGTAGGCCGCTTCTCTGGCTCCTTAAACAAGCACTTCTGTACCATGTCCTCCAGGATGCTGGGGAAAGCGTCGCTCTTGGGAAGCTTCGGGGCAGGCTCGTTGACAATCTGCTGCAGCAGATCCAAAATTCCAGCGGGACCCGAGTCATCTTCGTCAATGTGCTCGCTTGCAAAGGGGAATTTGCCAATGGCAAGCTCCATAATAGTCAAACCAAAACTCCAGACGTCCGACTTGACTGTGTATTTCTCGCCCTGAATTCGCTCAGGGGCCATGTAGGTGGATGTGCCGACAAAGGTATCGGCAATGGAGTTGACCAGCTCTCCAGACACTCCAAAGTCGCACAGTTTGATGGAGCCGCGAGAGTTGATGAGAATATTTGACGGCTTGATATCTCGGTGCATGATATGGTGCTTGATGTAAAGGTAGGTCAGGCCACCCAGAGTGGCCTCTGCAATCTTGCCCAAAACATCCACGCGGATTGGGCCAAAGACTCTCGAAACTCTGTCGAGTGCACTATTCGGATATCAGAGTCAGTCACATTCAGTACAATTGGTCCAATCTCGTGTCTTGGATATATGTAATGAAACTTACCCAACATCCATATACTCCATACACATAATGACATCGTTGTTGTGATTCAAAAAGGCACCATAAAATGTAACAATGTAGTCGGAGTGGCATCCGTGCATAATCTGAAGCTCTCGAACAATTCGCCTTCGCATCTCCTTCTTGGCCTCGACGTGTATAATCTAGGTATCCAGCATTAGCTCAGAGGCTCCATTAGGGACACCAAGGAAGTAGGTCAGGGGAGGGCCAGGAGGGACAGTACCTTGCGAGCCATGACGGTCCCTGTCGTCAGATGTCTGACTTTGCTAACGGTACCGCCATTGCCAGATCCGAGTTCTTTTATGACTTCAAGTTCCTCTGGTCTCAGGTCGAGCTTGTACTCGATGCCAATTTCCAGCTGTTCCTCCTTGCCGGCTTCGTCTTTGTTAACCTCTGAAGGCCGTCTGCCACTTTCCGCCGGTGGCGGAGGTCGTGGCGCTGCTGGCGTCAGGGCAAGTCCCTTGACGTTCTTGCGCTTCATCGTGCGCGGTGCGAAAGCGTCAGCCATGTTGGGCAAAAGTTTGATGATGCTGAACGGGAGAAGAAGTGGTGAATTGGTGATGCTTGGCACACCAAGGCGAGGGGCGAGCGTCGATGTCGATTAGGGGGCTCAAGTCCAAATCACTTGGGTAAGGCTCGCCAGAGTCAGATCAAAAGACAAGCAAAGCCTTCTTAGCCCAGCAGACAGTGTTCTTCGAGTAAGGCTGTGGGTGAAAGTTCAAAGCCTTGTCGTGTAGGAGAGATGAGCGATGTGTCGTCGCCGCTCGGAATAGCGCAGATTCTTCGTCAAGTCGCTGGCGGTCGGTTTCGAACAGGTTCAGACTATGCTGGCCCTGCCTAGATGAAAAGTCGTATACAGCCTCAGAGAGACGAAGAGAAGCAAGCGAGTATCACGTCGGAAATGCCTCTGGTGGTCGTTTCGCTTCTCCGCAGAATAGAGGACACCCCTCGAAGTTCGGGAGCCGTGGGGGATATTTACGGGCGGTTGTCCGTCCTCCGTGCACGAAATGGTCGAGGCTACGGGCACGTTAATTAGTGGTGCCCAGGTGCCTTGTAGCGCTGCAGCGGTCCAGTGTGGGGTCCTGCAGAGATAACGTGATCCTGGTCGGTTTGGGGTCTGGAGCGAAACCTGGAAGCTACAAAGGCTCAGGGCAGTTCAGAACAAAGAAAGAACCGTGGATCAACTGAGATTGACTCCCATGGAGGCCTGCACTTGTCCTTTATTAAATATCTCCGGACGGGCTGCAAAGGATTTTTCAACAATGCACTTGACCAGTTGCCAACGCCAGGACATGAGATGAAATCCCGCGTCAGGAGAATTTCTCCAATCATGCTGTACCGAGTTCTATTTTTATAGCCAAGCAGCCACCAAAAGAATCGTTGTTGAATGCACGTTGCCTGTTTGGGCGACCCCAAGAGCCACCACCACCAGCCCCTAAATCGCTGGCCTTGTTTAGGCGCCCAAGCCTGGCTCCCCCTATCATAGCTTTGCGGCGCACTGATAATATCAGCACAACTCCGTGCTCCGTGCTTGTTGTGTTCATCATCACCAAAATGCTCACACGAGTCGCGGGCAGCTGGGCTCATCAGCGGGGCCGGGGCCATTCCCGCGCATCTTAGCGAAGAGCCGGCACGTTTGGACATGTTTTGAAAGATGGGGATGCCTCATGTATACGAAGCACAGAGGGATGAAACCCGGCTAACATGTTAAACGCTCCTGGGCGCGCTTGACCCTCACCAATCATGCATCAGGTACCCAGATCTGGCATTGACCCCTAAAGGTGCATACATAATACTGTAGAGGTGCAATGGAACACACGCATGGCATCCGACTAGCGCGTCTGGCTGCGGGACGATTCAGGTGAAAGAATCCGTCATCTCCTTTCTCTAGGGCCATGTAAACGACTCCAGCGCAGGCGAATGTCCCTTTGATGCCAGTCCAGGCGCACCGTTGCCGTCTCATCTTCCATGAGCGTTGCCTTGTTTGGATATTGACCCATTATTCCCCATGACGTAGTGTTACGAAAAGTTGTTTCAGTGCATCTACATGTGTCCCTAGGATGACTTGGATGAACTGGCCTGCCTATTGCGATGTTCCCCTAGAACGACAGCTCACCGGCGCAGCTTTATCTTTTTCTGGATTTCGTTTAGCATCTAGGGAGTAAATGTCATCGATCATCGTTTGTACCTGTCATAAACCCGATCAGTCATATAATACAGCATCATCCAATTTCAGCTGTGAAGTTTCCCTTCCAGGGTATCATAGACATGCAACTCCAGTAAAGCTCTTGTTAACTTGGCATTGCAACAGAAAGGCGCTTGACAGTCTAATCGATAGTAGACGTGACCAGTTCATAAGGTGATATCTCAATCTCCTGATCTGATATAATCCAGCTCGCCATTCTACTGGCCGACGAGTGAACCAATACGAACCGCCTTGCAGCACTGCTTCACCAAAGCTCTCATGCTCCCTCTCTTTCAATACCAATCAATAGCTAGATGTCGATGTGGGGTCCTCAATCCGTCTTCTAATTTAAGTCTCCGGGCTGCCGCAACCTGCGGGGCCAGCTTCTGCCATACTCGTCAATACATGCTGGTATCAGGCCTGCGACTCCACACTGGCTTGTACTGTAGCAATCCAGAGCTGAGGCCCGATCTTGAAACTAGAGCCAGCTGCAGTATTTGCCGTTTGCCGAATGTTTGGAGGTGGGGGAGCGTATCGTATATGTCGACTGGGCTGCAGACGGATACTATTAGCACAACAAATTGCTGCTAGTCATCTTCAAGAGCAGATAATTCTCCTTATCCCCGGCCGTGTTCAAACTATGCTCACATTTGATAGTCTGCTCAAGTATGGGATAATGGCAAACGAGATAGTGGAAAGTAAAAAGAACAGAATTGCCGAGCAATTTTGCAAAAGAATTTTCATAACTAGTGTACTGTCCATGTACTGGAAACCTTTAGGCGCATATAGTTACTTTTCTCTCATTTTCGGCCCTTTGAGAAATCAAACCCTATTGCAGCTAACTTTGTGTATTTCTCGATAGGCTTCGGAGGATTTGATGGCGGAGCATGCAGCTCGCAGTAGTTACATAAGCATTTTCGAAAACGGATAAATATAATTCCGCTCTACCCCCTGCCACACGCGACACGAGGCTGAAGGTGGTCGCCGAGACTGCTCAAAAATTCATGTAGGCTTGTCAGGAGAGAGAAGTCAGTTGGCCTCATCGAGCTCTTTGACAATTTTCGCCGGAATCAAGGCCTTCTGCCAGTCTTCATCGGAAATCTCTCCGGATATTAGCTGAATTGCGTTATCCGCGCCCAATTCGGACGCGAGTCCCTCGATCAACCTTGTGACATCCTCCCAACGCGATAGCGCCAGGCACCGACAAGATGAGCTCCGCTATGCGCGACCTGATTTCGGGAGAGGCCGAGTTGGATGACGAGGAAGATGACGAATCTTTTGACGAGGATACTGGCGAGGAACGTCGAAGGAAGCCATCCGCCCGTGTCGACGATTCTAGCGAAGAAGAAGAAGACGATGATGACGAAGAAGAGGCTCGCAAGGTAATACTGGACCGCTATTGACTGCTGACACGATCTTCAACTAACGCGACTACTTCGCCTAGATCCGCGAGGGCTTCATTGTCGATGAGGACGAAGAGGAAGAAGAGGTCGAGTCCGACGTCGACAGCCGGCCGGTAAAGAGAAAGCGAGAGCATCGAAATCGTGAAGAGGAAGAAGCACTCGACGAGGAAGATTTGGAACTCATTGGCGAGCAGTTTGGGGAACAGCCAAAGCCCCAGGCACCAGTTAGTCACTCACTGCTCGTCTGACCCTTTTTCTTTGTTAACACCTCATATTTAGTCAAAGTTCAAACGCCTCAAACGCGGCCACCGAGACGAAGACGATTCAGCCCACGAAAAGCGAGGCTTGGAAGAAATCTTCGCAGACGATGACGAGGACGCTGCCGAGCAACGTGGCTACGGTAGACCTGGCTTCCGTTCCCAAGTCGACGAGTTCGACGACTTCATCGAGGAAGACTACCCCGAAGATGAGGATGAGCGCATACGCCAGCAGGAAGATGCCGAAGTCGCCCGCCCTAGGGATCGCGGTGTCGGTGGTGTCGTCGATACCACCGGTCTGGACAAGGATGCGCTGGATGATATGGAGGCCATCTTTGGCAACGGCGAAGACTACGACTGGGCACTCCAGATGGAAGAAGAGGAGGAGGACCGAGAGAGAGAGGAGCAGGGGATCGAGCTCAAGGACGTCTTTGAGCCTTCACAGCTCAAGGAAAAATTGCTCACCGACGAGGATAACGAGATTCGATTTACAGACGAGCCCGAACGCTTTCAACTCGACCGCAAAGCGTTCAAGAACCTGCAACTCACTCCCGATCAATTCAAGGAGGAGGCCCGATGGATTACCAACCAGCTATGGCCGAAGAAGGGTTTGGCTCAGGAACTCCAAGCCCCTTTTGGCAAGGCAGTTGGTAAAGTACTCGAGTTCTTCATTGTCGACGAAGTCGAGGTTCCATTTGTGTTTCAGCACCGAAAGGATTACCTCCTTCACTCCAAGAAAATTCGCAAGTCCACAAGGGACGATCCCGACGGCCCTGATTATACGATTCAGTCAGACAAGCTGCTGAACCAGGATGATCTATGGAGAATTCTCGAGCTCGATATCAAATTCCGCTCATTCGTGGAAAAAAGGAATTCTCTTGAAAAGTCGTTTGAGAACCTCAAATCTATGGATGTCCAAGACGACATGGTCGAGGAGATGATTCCCGAGGCTACCACCATGGAAGAGATTCAAGACCTGCAGGATTATCTGCAGTTCCAGTATGCCAACAAACTGAAGGACCTCGCGACTCTATCCGGTAGCGTATCGCAAACGAAACGCCCAGGTTCAAAATCTTCACTGTTTGACCGTGTTCGCAATGGAAAAGCCTACTACTTTGTCAAAGCCTATGGTATAACTGCCGACCAGCTAGCGAAGAATGCCCTTCGTCAAGGTAGAAAAGTCGCTCCGGATGACCACGAGCAGTATCCGATGGATCTGGCAGACAGCCTGCTTGATGACAGCTTTAACACCGGTGATCAAGTCATGAATGCTGCCCGTCAAATGTATGCTGAAGAGCTGTTTGCCAGTCCCCGGATGCGCAAGTACTTGAGAGCTTCCTTTTACCAGGCGGCTGAAATTAGCTGTCGTCGAACTGACAAGGGCCTGCGAAAGATTGACGACACCCACCCGTACTACGAAATCAAGTACATCCAGAACCAGGCCATCGCGGATCTGGTACACCAACCCGAAGTGTTCCTCAAGATGATGCGCGCTGAGGAAGAGGGCCTCGTGGAGATTAAACTCGAGATGCCTTCACGATACGATTTCCGGAGGCAGCTTTATCAAGAGTTCGAGTCAGAGAACTTTAGTGATCGAGCAGAGCAGTGGCGAGAGGAGCGCAAAAAGGTGTTGGATCTTGCTTACCCTAAGCTGGAAAAGATTGTGGCCAAGAACATCAAGGAAGTTATTCGGACTTTCTGTCAGGATGAAGTTCTCAAGATGTGTCGACAAGAGTTCTACCGCAAGCTTGATCAAGCTCCCTACAAGCCCAAGGGTATGATCCTGGGTACCACACCGCGAGTGCTTGTTCTGTCCAACGGAGGTGGCGACCCTACTCGCGACCCCGTGTGCTGGGCTTGGGTGGAGGAAGAAGGCAGGGTGCTTGAACAAGGCAAGTTTGGCAACCTCGGCAGAGACGAAACACAGCGCGAGAATTTTGTTGAGCTTGTGCGGCGGCGACGGCCTGATGTCATTGGTGTCAGCGGCTGGTCATCGGATACGCAAAAGCTGGTCCGCGACTTGGAGGGCCTTGTGAGCGAGAAGAGTCTCATGGGGGCAGAGTTTGAGGACCCCGAGACGAACGACTACCGAACCGAGCTGCTTGAAGTCATCGTCGTCGAGGATGAAGTCGCACGCCTTTACAAAGATAGCCCTCGTGCCATGGCTGAGCACCCTTCTCTTAACCCCATCACAAGATACTGCATCGCCTTGGCGCGATATTTGCAGAACCCGATGAAAGAATACGCTGCGCTTGGCAAAGATGTATCGTCTCTTTCATTCCACCCATGCCAAAGCTTGCTGCCTCCGGATAAGCTGATGAAATATTTGGAATCTGCCATGGTTGATACTGTCAATATGGTTGGAGTCAACATCAACGATGCCATGACGGACACTTACACGGCCAATCTTCTCCCTTTTGTCGCAGGATTGGGACCGCGAAAGGCCACCAGCGTAATCAAGACCATCAACGCAAACGGAGGCGTAGTCAACACAAGAGACGAGCTTGTCGGTGACCCAGACAGCGGAAAGCTACCAGTTGTTGGACCACGTGTCTGGAACAACTGTGCCAGTTTTCTGTATATCGAGTACGACGCAACGAATCCCTCATCGGATCCTCTTGACAACACTCGTGTTCACCCTGAAGACTACGAATTGGGCCGCAAGATGGCGGCAGATGCGCTTGAATTGGATGAAGAGGACGTTAAAGCGGAGACGGATGAGAACGGACCTGGCGCCATCGTGCGAAAGCTCTTCAAGCAAGACGAGCAAGAGAGGGTCAACGAGCTGGTGCTTGATGAGTACGCCGACCAGTTGCAGAGGAATTTCAGCCAACGCAAGCGAGCTACTCTCGAGGCCATCAGTGCCGAACTGCAAGCGCCCTACGAAGAGTTGCGCAGAAGCTTTGCGCTCCTTACGCCGTCTGACATTTTCACCATGTTTACGGGTGAAACCAAGTTGACTCTCTGTGAGGGCATGATTGTTCCAGTCAACGTGCGCATGGTCAGAGACGACTTTGCCATTGTGAAGCTGGACTGCGGCATTGAAGGCAGGATAGAAGGCCACGAAGTATCGAACCGGGCTTCTGTCAAGGACGTCCTCAGCTCAGGGCAAACGGTGCAAGCTAAGATCCTTGAGATGAACTACAAGGATTTCATGGCCAAGCTTTCCATGCGGGAAGAGTCTTTGCGCGTCCCCTACAAGGCTCCCATCAACTTTGGCCGCGATGGCTGGGACTATGCTCTCGAGGCTGCCGACAAAGAGGAGCTTCGTGAGAAAGACAAGACCACAGGCAGGACGCAGCGTGTGGTCAAGCATCCCAACTTCAAGCCCTACAACTCAATCCAGGCGGAAGAGTACCTTGGATCGCAGCCTCCTGGCGAGGTCATCATTCGACCCTCTTCAAAGGGTAATGACCACCTGGCTATTACCTGGAAGGTTGCTGATGGCGTTTACCAACACATTGACGTCCTGGAAATGCAAAAGGACACAGAGTTTTCTGTTGGCAAGCTCCTCCGGATAGGTGGCAAATACACCTATAGCGATCTTGACGAGTTGATCGTGGATCATGTTAAGGCCATGGCCCGAAAGGTCGAAGAGATGATGAGAAACGACAAGTACCAAAACAGGTCACGCAACGAGACTGGTAAGTCATCTTTGATCAACTTGTTACCCGAATCCCTAGGTGAATATCTTTCTAACATCGAAGCAGAGAAATGGCTCATTACTTATGTGGATGCCAACCCCAACCGATCTGCATATGCCTTTTGCATCGACACCAAGCATCCAGGATACTTTTGGCTATGCTTCAAGGCGAGCAAGACGGCACGTGTCATCGGCCTACCGGTGCGAACCATTCCTCAAGGATTCGAGCTCAGGGGATATCAGTATCCCGACATGCGTGCCCTGTGTAATGGTTTCAAGCTGCGGTTCCAGAATGAGTTTTCCAAGATGGGGGCGCGCTAAGAAGAGAGAATAATGATGACCTAGACGTGGCCTGGAGGCGGACATGGAAAAAGCGAAAATCTAGGGTTACAGATTTAATGACTCGTGTGTGTTGATTATTTAGTATCATTGTGTAGAAAGTCCGGATTCAAACTGGCTCGGGAGGAACTCGATAGCAGTCCTTGGGAGCGAAAACCACTTTTTTTTCTCCCTCATTGTTCATTATTTCAGAGAAAGATTGGGGCTACGGGGATAGCATGGATGAGAAGCAATAGTATTCATGGAAAAAACAAAAGATTAGAATAATAGGTGACTTGTTTTAAGGGGGAGAGGAGGCTAGCTGGGTTGACGAATATTTCAACTGACGAGGAACAAACAAAGCCTGCTCTTGAGTCGATGCAGCTAGATTGGTAATCACAAATTACATGCAGATGGATACAATGGCCGTTCGTGATGTTTTGATTCCAATGTGTTTGACCAACGATGAACAGCCCCTGAGGCGCCATTATGCTTGGTGGTTTGACCATATAAAGATTGAGTGTAGAGAGCTCAGCAACATACACATTGATGGAAGCAAAAATGAAGAAGATACCAATCGTAAGTAGTCTGCCATATGGCCGTTCAAGAGGACATGAGGGCAAAAAAAAAGAATTGAGCGACACCTGCAGGATTCGAACCTGCGCGTGCGAACACAATGCCTATGATACCTGTAGATAGCAGGGCATCGCCTTAACCACTCGGCCAAAGTGTCTT